TTCTAAACTATTACTCCTTAATCTCCATGCAAAACCTTTGCTGCTCTGAAGCTCGTGTCATCAGACAACATTTCTATTCTTCCTTGTCACCACCATCAATCATCAATCGCTTTGGCTCCTGGATCATCTAAATGGCTTCAGGGTCTATGACATGTGTCTTCTGACACCAACTCTAAATGATTTTTCTGAAAGTAACTGCAAATGCAGCTTTTCTTTAATTCTTCTGACCCAAACCACCCAGAGTTAGGTAAGATCTCACTCTTTAAGGGGCACAGTCCTCCAGACAGCCAAATCTGCTCAAGACTTCATACACCAGCTGAAAGCTTTATATGAAGCTTGTATTTTGGGTCCCCAGGATGCTCTCATTTCTGACCTGCTAGCTATAAATTCATGGGTTCCCACTGTCTCCTTGGGTTCCATAATAATTAACATAACTCCGGAAAGTGCTAAACTTACAACTACAGTTTTATGATAAAGAATACAAAAGAAGAGATGCATAGGGTAAAGTCTAGGAAGGACTCCAATGCAGAGCCTTCATGCTCCCAAAGACACGTTACTCTCCTTTGTATTGATGTCTATCACCAGTCAGGAAGCTCACCTGAGCTTCAGTGTCCAGAGTTTTTATCAGGGTTTCATTATGTAGGAATGATTGATTGATTCATTGCCCATGTGATTGAACTAAATCTCCAGTTCCCTTCCCTTCCCTGAAGGTAGGGCTGATATCACATGGTAGGTCTCTGAGTCCCAAACCCTAAGTCACCTTATTAGCATAAACTATGAGGTGAACAAGGGCAGAATAACCAGTAAGCAAAGTATGCACGGGCTTACATTAAGCAAGTGTACAATTTCATCTTTGATGTGATGAAACTCATGTGAAATTGTGCACTACAGATTAGCAAATAAGCACAAGTAAGCCCACGGGTACCTTGCTTATTGGGTAATCCGTCCCTGGAGGTGAACTCTGGAGTTTGTCATGAATAACAAAGATACTCCAGTCACTCAGGAAATGCCAGGAGTTTAGAGGTTACATTTCAGGACCTGAGAACAAAGACCAAATTCTTTGGGTAAAGTAATTCTTCACCCCACAATATCCTTGTAGATTTCTCAGTCAAAGATATAGACTCGTAGCCTCTTTGCCTTAGTTACCTTTTATGTTTCAATGAGATTTATGCCCACTTCATTGTGTTTACTACTCATATGGCCACCATTAGGACTCTCATAACCTATAACTGCTGCCATCTCCAAAAAGCCCTTAAACTATCAAATTCCACTTTTTGATCCTAACCTCCTGCTTCCTCATGTCATCACTTCCACTTCATGGGATCTTTGGACTCGTAGTTACTTCAGGCTCTTGGCTACTCAAGTTTCTCTCGCTCATCAGTAATTATTGTTGTAGCCACCAGGCACTGTACTATTCCTTATAAAAACATTGAAAATTAGTATTATTATCCCCATTTTTAAGATTAGAAAAATGAGGCTCAGGGATATTAAGAAACTTGCCCAAGATCACTAGGCTAGTAAGTAGCAGAAATCTGATCTGAATCTAAGTGTTCTGACTTCAGTATTCATTCTCTCATGCTACTTCCTACTATGCTTCTCTATGTAGTTTGAACATTTTGAGTGATCACCTGAATTGCTCTCTCCAGCTTTTCAGTTCCTCCAGACCTGCCTTATAAACCTCTCTTTCTTGATAGATTACCCAAATCACCTAACCTCCCCCTAAACCATCTTCATTTACAAAATGGTACAAACATTTATAGTGATGACCAATTTGGATACGTCATCAGGAAAGACCAATTCCTAGAAAAGGACATCATATTTGGTAAAGTAGAAGGTCAGCAAAAAGAAGGGAAACCCCCAAGCGAGGTGGTTTGACACAATAGCCACAACAATTGGCTCAAACATATCAAAGATTATAAAGATAGTGCAGGACCAGGCAACCTTTTGTTCTGTTATATGTAAGGTCTCCATGTGTTGGAGCTGACTTGACAGCAACCAGCAACAACAATTCAAGTCCTTAAAGCAGTATCTGACTCATCAAGGGAACATAAATTATATTCAGTTGGGAAAACAGGCCCTCTTCACAAGCAGATGAGAGGATGGAAGATGTACCTGCCAGAAGCTGGCCAGCATCTTCTAGAAGTGCAAGAAGTTTAGATATGCAAAAGGAAGAAACCTCTGGCTTCAAAATGCTCAAGGAAGCTGTCAAAGCTGCCTATATGGTGAGAAACGTCCTTCCATGGCATCTACCCCTCCCCATAAGGACCATTATAACAGTATGACTGCAAAAAAAGCACCCCATTATCCCCAGCTTGCTCCAGGAAAAGGCCAGTCACAGGTAGCCCTCTGCTAACACCGAACAATCCTTCCTCTTTTCAAATGTCCTCAAACTGTTTGCTTGCCTCCTTGCAGCCAGTCAAGGACTACCAAGATATCTGAAGACCAGTTAGAATATTTTCTCTGCTTCCAAAAATCCCACCTTTAGTAGAGCATTTGCCAATCAGAGACTGTCTCAGCATTTCCTCTTTTTACTCTGTAAGACTGAATCTCCTTTATAACACCTTTGAATCCCTGCTGAAATGAAAGTGACTACAGATGAGTTCCCCTGCCACGAGTTTATAAACAATCTTTGTTAATTTTGTCTTAGGCTTAGTTTTTTCTTTGACAATGAACAAGCAATTTGTGCTCCTAAGTAGCACTTCTGTATGAATTAAATTATTTTTGGAGTGATTAAGATGCAGAGAATCATCGTCATCGTGGAAACTAAATCCACAACATCTACAAATGCAACCACTTCCTGAAACACCACCACAATAGCAACAAGCTTCTGCTCTAGGCTCCTCATCAGAAAAGGTTGTGAAATCCTCAACAAGACATCCCCATTCAATATGTCCAGAGTGTCCATGGTAGCTGGCATCAAAAGCAGATCCCTCTTTCTCCCCAAATACAAATGCTTTCACCTTTAAAAAACAAATAAATGAAAATTTGAGGGAGATCAAGCATAGAGGCCAAGAAGTGTGGGAGGCACAGGATAGCTGATTCTGGCCTGGGGCTCTGAGCTTTGGCCTTTACATCAAAATGGCTATACTACTTGTGGCCTCTCTTAGAAAGGTTTTCACCCAGGATACTCTGAGTCTCTGAACCTTACAGATCAGTCCCAGAAGGTTCCCCGATAGGTTTCTGCTGATTTCTAAGAAGAAATAATACACTAGATCAGGGTTTCTCAACCTCAACTCTACTGACATTTTGGGCCAGATAATTCTGTGTTGAAGGCTGCTGTCTTTCACATTGTTGGATGTTTAGCAACATCCCTGGCCTCTACCCACTAGATGCAAGTAGTACACCTCCTAGGTTGTGGCAATCAAAAATGTCTTTACATATTACTAGCTGTCCCTTAGGGGAAATATCATCCCAGTTGAGAACCACTGTACTACATACTCACTGAGTAGGTGTGAAGAAACAATGCAAGTGAACGTGCTTTGTACAGTAGCACAAAAAGTGACTTATTATCACTCTCCCTACTTTGATTAGCGCATCAGTTGATTAGGACCCAGACCTCAGGAACTCTTGTCTCTTCTAGTCTCACAACTTCAAAGACCCAGGGGATGCCTATGTCCATTAAAGACAGATACGTATAGAAACTTCTCTCTACATATGCTATTAGCTTTTTTTTTTTCATCCTGTCAAAAAGGGCAATACCAACTAAACTGCAGGATCATTTGACTGTTCTCATGGGATTCAATAAGACAGTCCAGGCAATGTCCCTCTTAACCACAGTCATGGTATGTAAAGTTAGAGAAAAAAATACCAAAGGGCACATACTGGAAAGAGCGCTGCTTTATCCAGGGGCCTAGAAGCAAAGAGATAGCACATTAGAACTGGTAACTTAAGGAGAGTTAAAAAAAAAAAAAATACTGTTTATGAAATTGTGGGCAGAGTTTAAGGAAACGAGATGATGCAGTACTCTAGGGCTAATAACAGCTGGGAGCCACTACTACGTCTAGGCCAGAAGGGGAAAGGGGTGGGAGTGACTACCAGAAGTTAAAAAGCATAGCTATATGGAGAAGGCCTTCTGACAGGAGCTGTGGAAAGCAGTCAACCCACAGCAATCCAGAAGAGAGGGATCAGGAAATAAATCCCCTATCTCCATTCTCCTCCCAACCTCATTCCGTCTTCCAGAAGCAAGGGCACCATTCATAATATTCTGATACTCCCAGAGCACAAAGTTGAGTGGAGTGGGAGGGTAGAGGAGGGGATCTAAGGGCAACAGAAAATACTCGGAGGAAGTGAAAAGGGGAAGCTGGGCAAGGCGTCCAACAGTTATTTATGGTCTGTTACTATGGTCAGGGCATAGTCAATGAAGTTAGGAGAACAATTAGAAGCAAAGCCCAGAGCCATAAAAGGCAGGGCTAAAGAATCAGCCAAAAGTGAGCAGTGAAAGGTGACTGGCTCAAATTTTGAAAATGGAATGCTAATGTCAGTGGCAGCTTTGTACTAGCTGCAAAGCTCACTTTTAAAGGGAGAAAAGCTTGTTTGAAGGATGCTAGAATGGTGGTGAGTGTGGGGGGGCATGTTCAACCAAAACTCCAGGGCTTGCTGACTTAGCATTTACTGATCCTATTTTATAACTGCCTGGGCAAAACTGAATTTTTTTAAAATTAGTCACCTCTTGAGGGAAGAAATCTTGTCTGATTTGTCTGTGTGTCTACCCCAGTGCCTGGTGTCTGGCAAAGGATAGGTGCTTAGTAATTGTTAGTTGAACTTTGAGTGTTACAGTGGGTTGAATCGTGGCCCTCCCAAAGATATGTCTACATCTTTGGAAAAAGGGTTTTTGCAGATGTTAAGACTCTCAGGATGACATCATCCTGGATTATCTGTGTGGATCCTAAACCCAATGACAAGTGTCCTTATAATCTTTACAAGAGAAAGAAGAGAAGATACAAATAGAGAGAAGATGGCCATGTGAAGCCAGAGACAGAGATTGGAGTTATGCAGCCACAAGCCAAGGAACATCTGGAGCCTCCAGAAGCTGAAAAAGGTGAGTAAAGAGTCTCCCCTAGAACCTTCAGAAGGATCGTGGCCTTGCCAACATCTTGATTTCAGTCTTCTGGTCTCCAGAACCGTGAGAGAATACATTTATGTTGTTTGTCTTAAGCTACCGCGTTTAGGGTAATTTGTTACGGCAGCCCTAGAAACTAATACAAGTATCAGTTGGAATGTATGAGTTCTGGAATTCCCTTATCTGTTCAGTATAGTCCTATGGCCACTATGTATGAGAAGAGTCTCCAAGAGTCACTGTCAAAGCAGACAGCCTTGCATTCTTCCCTTCCCTCCACAAGATGAGAATCTTTCCCACACAGAATGCATAGTGTGAACAGGGCCCCAGCAACCTGCCCATCCATCATCTATTTCTTAGTGTGCCTGATGACAGGAGAAGGCATAGAAAGTTGGGGTTACAATGTTTCTGGTCCCCCATACTGGAGTACTACCCAAGCTGTCACCCAAGCCCATAGTTAGGGAAAGCCACTTAGCCATCCTCCCAGAGACAGGGATCACAATCTTGGCCTATTCCAGCTGATAGGAGGGCAGACATAGATAAATCTATCCATAGTTACCAAAAGCTGAAACTCATTGCTATCAAGTCAGTTCTTACTCATAGTGACCCTGTAGGACAGAATAGAACTGCTCATGGGTTTCCAAGGCTGTAAATGTTTACAGAAACAGACTGCCACATCTTTCTCCTCTGGAGTGGCTGGTTAGCAGTCTTCCAGTTAGCAGCTGAGCACTTAACCACTGAACCACTAGGGTTCCTTACAGCACCTCATTATTCAGATACATATCCAGTTCAGTGGCCCCAAGCTACCAGACTTAATGAAACTGAAAAGAATCCCTTGGTCCTGACTCCTACAGCAAGCCTGGCTACAGACTAGCCCAACCTCCCGGGGCACATGTAAACTGTTCAGAGACCATTCCCTCAGGAATCCCTTACCCAGACCTTCTTTTCCTGGTAGACAGGCCACTAGGACCCCAGCACAAATTGCCTTCACGAGTCCTTGGGTGTGTCTGCTATAGTTAGTTGCAGTGGAGTTGATTCCGACTCATGGCGACCCGATGTGTGCGGAGTAGAACTGTCCTATGGAGTTTTCAAGGCTGTGAACTTTCAGAGGCGGATCGCCAGGCCTGTCTTCCGAGGCACCTCTGGGTGGGTTCAAACCACCAACCTATCAGCTTGTAGTCAAGTGCTTAATCGTTTGCACCACCCAGGACTCCTTTGGGTGTGTCTAGAACCCTGGATTAAAAAACACTCATTGTGCTTCTACCTCAAACTTGGTATGATAGGAGCATAAAGAGACCTCAGAAATAATGTATCTCCTAAAATATTATGACCCAGTAGGAAAGGTTAAAACAAATCACATTTATATAGGTTCAAAGCAGAAATGACAGCAGGAGTAGTTCAGAAGAGAAACATCCCTTGCTGATAGGCATGAAGCAGGATGAGGAGAAAGGTTGGTGTGGGCAGGTCAGGGAAGGGGCTGTGGGGAAGGCAGCATGTAAGACCTTGCCTTATCAGCAGAATTTCATCTTCTTGGATGCCCACATCCTTTGAGTCATATCCAATGAGTCACACCCAACGAGTCATATCCAAGTCTTCCCCACTACCTTCCTGCTGTCCCTTCTCCTCCTCTTTAGGATCACTGGAAAAATTTTAGAAAGGAGAGAATGTTCTGGTGATATTAGTTAAATAGCTCTCTCTCTGGTTCTCTATTTGAAGCTGATTCCTTAATTATCCACCATTGCCTGGACATAAACGCATCTATGTATATTAATTTTTGCTCCACTTAGCAAAGTGGTCACTTAATTAAATGTCTTCAGTTGTTTTATTGGGGAAAAAAAAAAAAAACCCACTCCCCCCTCCAAGGCGTCCCTCCCTGCTGCTCAACTCCTCTGTTGTGCCGTAAATTCAAACATACTATTTGTTGCTTTCCATTCAGTTCATTTGTAACCCCGATGCCACTGCATTTGTAGGAACTGATATTAAAAAGTAATATCCGAGACTAAAGTCGCTAGACTGTTCAGTAGATTTTTAAATTGAAACCAAAATTATACAGATTTTTCATTCTGATAATTCCACCAATTCACTAATTCTTTAATCTTTACAGGTCATTGAACGGTTCCACATTAATGACATGTAGTTAAGAACAAATTTTACACTTTTTCCTTTTTTTTTCCCCTTGAAAAATGTTTCCTATCATTTGTAAATTAGAAAGAACTTGTTCCATTTATGGTCCATTTATTTAAAATAATCGAATGCATGGGATCTGGCTGAACACTGTGTGTAATGATGCTTTTAAACAAATTACCATTTATTTATAAGCAAGAAATAGACTTTTAAAAAGCACCCAGACTTGGTTGCATTATTAATGGTATTCTTCAGGTCCAACAGCTCTGGGGTGTGTGCGTGTGTATGTGTGCATGTGTGTGTGTGTACACGCCTGCATGCACGTGGATGTGCGCACACACAAGAATGTGGACTTTGTTCCAGTGCAAAGGTTGAGGAATCGAAATAAAAGAAAAAAAAACAAAACAAGAAAAGGCTTCTAGAAAAGCAGCATGTTTCTCCTTTTCAGAAAGTTGTAGGTGTTGGTGAAATCCAGGCATGACGAGCCATCCATCCCAGATTCTCTACTGTGAATGTGCAGTTGCGATCACAAAGCACCCAAATCTAAAACCAGAGTCAGCCCTAACCTAACCTGTTCAGTGTGCTAGGCTGAGTTCGCGGAACAAACAGAAAAAGTCCTTCATCCTAACTAAGGCAGAAGCATGTGCAAGTATGCAAAGCCCTCCTCATCCACCAGTGGCCTGGGAGTTCCTACTTAGAGAATAATTGCATTTTCATGAAATGCTGGAGAGTTAATTGCTTGGATTCAAGTATTGTAAATTACTATTATTCTTTACCACATGCTATTGCAGGGAGGAAAGTGTTTATCCTGTTAAGTGATATTTAAAGAGCTTAAGTTGTAGCGAGGGGAGATGGCTGACTGTGCTAAGAATTAATGGGGAGATATTATTCTGGCTTTAACAGCTTTGGCCCTGTCCATGTGTAAAACAATTCTCATTCCTTTCCTGCTATCTCTTTTCTTCTGTACTGACCAAATGATGAATAAATAAATACTGAATGGAGGCTAGGACTTTCGATATTCAATCCCAGCACCATATTCCCTACTTCTGACAAGTGAGCAATCCTCAGAGACCACTTTCCAGTTCCACCAAAGGAGAAGGAAATGAGAGATAAAGGAGAAAGGATGAAAGGGTGGAAGAAAAGGTCAAGGAAGAAAAATAAAACTATGGAACCAGAAGAATCAGAACTGCTAATGAGAGAAAAGTAACAATTTTTCAGGTTTGGGAGAATGTGTGGATGGGATTACTTCCTGCCCATAGTTTTGGGGAAATCATTAAAAAATAAATAAATAAAGGAAAGTGCTTAAAACCAAGATAAGTAAAGATAACTTTTGTATTGCTAGCACAAAGAACACATGCCTGACATCGATGAACGAATGGTGTTGTGCTGGTTTTCAAAAAGGTAAGGAGGTAGATCTGGATACTGCAAGCTAGTTGCTTCAATCACTAGCAAAACAATAACCAATTACTAAACCAGTGGTTTTTGAAAGCTTAGGGAATAAGGAATGACGGCCAGGTCCCACAAGATAAAAAATTTACCAGAAGAATCTCATGGTATTTTTTCCATTGAGTTGTCAGTAGACCAGGTAAATCTAATTTTCAGTCAGCTATTTGACAGATGTTCAGTCCTTTGTAATTAGGAAAAAGTGAGTTTGTCAAATAACTGGTAGAACATCTGTATATAATGTCATAAATAGGACTATTTCAATCTAGATAAAACCCCTAGTTGAATGATATTGGCCCAGTGATTATTCTTTGTATCAATACTTGTTTATGGTCATCAATAGCAATAGGGCTCTGTCCTTGGCCCTGATCTATTTTTTCTCCCCAGCGTCTTATATAGATGTAGACAGCATGCTCGTCAAAATCTGAAGATGACAAAAAGTTGGGAGGATAGTAGAATAACTGAATGAAATATATGCAGGTACCAACCTGACAGGAATAAAAACAAATTTCTCAATATGTTCAAAAAGTCAACTGTTCGTAGATAGAGACAGAGAATACCCTAGCTAAATAGCAGTTATTCGGGGTCGTGGCGGGGAACCTTAAGTTGTCTTAATTAGCTACGAGTTCAATATAAGAACGCTATGTGATGTGATTGTCAAATAACCCAAGGTTATTGGTGTTTGTATCCACAGGGACTACCACTGGCAGATGGTAGTTGGTTGAGGAAAATGGAGGGAGGATTCTACACAGCTTGGAGAAGACAAGTCTTTTGAAGGATATGACTGCTGTCTTTAAATATCTGAAGGGCCATCTTTTAGAAAAGGAAGAAGTTATGTTCTTTGCTGTCCCAGATGAAACTATCCCAGGTGGAAATTTCCAGAAAAGGAACAAGATGCTTTGTAAGATGTAATGAGCCCCTTTAGCTGCGACGATTCTGTCGGGGGTGAGAGATTCCTTGTATGAGCTGTTGAAGAAAAGATGAGAGGTTGTATGTGGTCACTAAGATCCAGAAAATTCTGAGAGTTTTTGATTCTCTGATCCTATATCAAGAAGCTCAGCATAGACCAATGTTACATAGACTTGGGGATTGTGTGTGTATGTGTGCCATTAAAATAAAAATCAAATAAATAAGTTGGAAGAATTGACACTAAGTTTTCAACTTTTTATTTTTCCAAGTAAGTACATTAATATTTAATAATGAAGAATAACTTTCAAACACCACATCCATTGTTTCACGGTAGAACATTTTGTAACGCCAAAATCTAGAATTAACAAAACCCCAGAATAAAGATGAGTCTTTATGTTGAATAAATTTAGCATTATGAAGAAAACTCTACTTTCCCTACTTTTCTCACTTTGCTACAGAGGAGTAGAAATTCCCTCATAATCAACACCGGCATTTGGAAACCACTGATAAAGGCAATATCAGTCAGGGTACCAAGTCCATTCAGCATTGTCACACATGAAGCTGGGGTAAAAATGTTGGGGTCTCCAGAAAGGGTAAGTCTGGCTTTCACTGTGTCTCCCGTCTGCTGCTATCACCAGAGGCTCAGTCCTCACCAAAGTAAATCATCAGCTCCATGCCTTGTCAGCCATTTAGGACAACGAATGATGTCAGAAAAAATAAATAAATATAAAATGGAGCCCTGCCATTTTTCTAAAAAATAATTGGCAATTGTCTCAACATTTAACCCCATCTTATTTATTTAAAAATTCATTTATTACCCAGTGATTGGCAAAGCTATCTTTATCATATACTAAGTTATTCTATATATTTAGGTATGTTTCCGGGATTCTGTTTGATTTGTCTGTTTATTATTGCATATGAACCAAACATTTTAAATTATTATGACATTATTATAATTATTAATGCCTGGAAAAGAAAGTTCAGTATTGTTGTTTTTTCAAAATGTTCTTAGTATTCATCTACATATGTTCTTCCAGATGAATTGTGATTTGGTCAAATTGCAGAAAGAAAAAAAAAGCTTCTCTTTAGTATTTTGAGTTGAACTATTTAAATTTGAGATAAATTTGGCAACAGCTGGCACCATTCCCTATTAAATCTTCTCATCTAGGAATATATTGTTCCATTTCCATTTATTCAAGGCTTCTTTTATGCCTCTCAGTGAAATTTCATAGGTATATTCCTTTAAGGTGTTAAAATTATTCTTGTTAAAATTAGTCTTTTTAAGTATTTCTTTCTCTTATGAATGGGATTGTTTTTCATTATAATTTTTTTTCTAGTACATGAAGAATCTTTTTTTAATATTTATTTTATAACTGACCTTCTACTGAACTTTTGTATTAATTACTTTTTAGTTGATTCACTTGAGTTTTCCAAGAAACTTTATGGCTATTCTTTGCTAATATTCATCCTTTTTTTTTTCTTTTCTTATTGCATCAGCTAGAACTTCTTGAAAAATGTACAATAAGAGTGATGATAGTGGGCATTACTTTATTATTCCTTATTTATTAGTGTAATTTCAGTGTTTGTCAACCAAGGAGATGTAACCCTTAGGAGACTGTGTAATAAACCCTTGGGGTAAGGGATATGGAAGGAGAGTTAGCAAACTACTACTCATACCCCCTCCTCATGAGATATTGAGAGGCTCCTCTTGAAGTTCTGTTACTCACAGTTTAGAATCATTTCTATAGTGATCTCCCATCAATAAAATGTGTTGTATTCTTCAGGTGTATCTGTGGAGAAACATGTTTAGAAATGGAGAAACAAGTGTTTTATTAATTCACTATCCATTTGATATTTGCTAGTTGTTTAAGGTAGATATTCTACAGGAAAGTATTATTATCTATGTTACTAAGAGTTTTTGATTTTGTTTTTTTTTGAGTCTGAGATTAATGTGGACTTTTATGAAATGTGTTTTGGAAATCTGATATGATTATATAATACTTTTTCAAATGTTTAGAGTTTTAGGTTTCTGCAATAAACACTACTTGTTAGTAGTAGTATCTTCACCACACTGTGGATCACAATTTGACAATGTTTTGTTTAGGATTTTTGCAACTCTATTCATCTTTATACCTTTAATTACTGCTAAATCCTTTATATATCCTATGCTTCAGTCAAACTGACCTGTATTCTGTGCTTTCCAACCTCTGTGCCTTGACTCATATTCTTCCTTATGCCCTTCCTTCTCCATTTCCATGTGCCCAAACCTCAAACAAACACTACCTCTTCCATGTAAGGCTTCCCTTAAAAGTATAATTAGATATAACCTCTTCCTCTTCTACACTTACCTTTTTCCCATATTTCTCTAATGTCACTTATTTTCTATATTGTGTTACAGTTGTTAACTTAGATTATCTCTTCTATTAGACGGTAAACTTCTTGAAAGATCCATGTATGATTTATCTTTGTCTTCTTTATGATGTTTTAGGATGATACCGAATAAGTGCATTGTGAGAACGTGGTCTCTGGAATCAGCCTGCCTGGTTTTAATCCTGGCTCTGCCTCGTTCTAGCTTGGTGATATTGGATAAGTTATTTAATTTTTCTGCTCTCAATTTCCTCTGTAAACTAGCTATATCAATAATACCGACTTTACGGAGTTGTTGTGAGGATAATCAGGTAATATGAATAAAGCACTTGGAATAATGCCTACTACAAATTTCGTGATATATTTTTATCTATTATAAACTACTAGTATATAAGCTTCAGGAAGGCAATGAATTCCTCTGTTTTGCTCCCAGCTCAACACAGTTAGTCATCAGAGAAATGCAAAGTAAAAGCAGAATGAGAGACCAATACATACCCACTAACACCACTAAAATTAGAAAGGCTGCCAATACCAAGTTAGGGTGTGGAACAACCAGAACTCTCACATACAGCTGATGGGAATGCAAAAAGATACAGACACTTTGGAAAACCGTTTGACAGTTTCTTAAAAAGGTAAACACACACTTACAGTCTGATCCTTAATACTACTCTTTGTATTTGCCCGTAAACAGAAAATATATATCCATGCAAAGACTTGTATATTAATATTCATAGTAGCTTTATTTATAATAGCCAGAAACCTTAAACAACCATCAACTGGTAAATGGATAAACAAAATGTAGTATATCCATACAACAAAATACTTCTCAATAAAAAGAACTAACTACTGATAAATAAGGGTCCCTGGGTGACGCAAATGGTTTGTACTGGCTTACTAACTGGGAGGTTTGCAGTTTGAACCCACCCAGTGGCACTGTGGAAGAAAGCCCTGACGATCTGCTTCCGTAAAGATTACAGCCAAGAAAACCCTATGGAATGTTCTACTCTTTAACACATGAGGTCACTATGAGTTGGAATCGACTCAATGGTAATGGATTTACTACTTAAAATACACAACACGGATGAGTCTCAAGAGTATTATGCCAAGTGAAAGAAGCCAGACATAAAGGACTATTTTGTCTGATTCCGTTCATATGAAATTCTAAAAAAGGTAAAATTATAGTTATGGAAAGCAGATCAGCAGTTACCTAAGCCCGGTAATGGAGATGGGGATTGACTGTAAAAGAGTACAAGAAAACTTGTTGAATTATTAAAAATGTTTTATATTTTGATTATGTTGGTGTTTACATGATTACATATATTTGTCAAAATTTATCACGTTACACACTTAAAATGGGTGAATTTTATGCCTCAATAATGGTGATTATTAATCAATCAGTAATAACCATGAGTTAGATCAGAGCATTAGCTGCTCAAAATCCTTCAATATCTTCCTATCACACTTATAATAAAACCCCAGATCCTTGCCATGGCCTGTAATGCTGTACATGATCTAGATCTCCAGGCTCTTTCTACCACTTCCCCCTATGTGCTCCTGTCACATTGTCCACCTTGGGGATCCTAGAACACACCAGGAGTGTCCCTGCATCGGAGTATTTGCACATGCTGTTCTCTCTACCTAGGGTATTCCTCTCCTTGACGTCTGTCATGGATTGAATTGTATCCCCCCAAAATATCTGTCGACTTAGCTAGGTCATGATTCTCAGTATTGTGTGATTGTCCACCATTTTGTCATCTAATGTGATTTTCGTATGTGTTGTAAATCCTGTCTCTGTGATGTTGATGAGGTGGGATTAGCGGCAGTTACGTTAATGAGGCAGGACTCAATCTACAAGATTGGATTGTGTCTTGAGCCAATCTTTTTTGAGACACAAAAAAGGGAAGTGAGAAGAGAGAGACGGGGATATCATACCACCAAGAAAGCAGCACTTAGAGCAGAGCACGTCCTTTGGACCCGAGTTTCCTGCTCCTGAGAAGCTTCTAGACCAGGGGAAGATTGATGACCAGGACCTTCCTCCAGAGCCAACAGAGAGAGAAACCCTTGCCCTGGAGATGAGTCCCTGAATTTGGACTTGTAGCCTACTAGACTGTGAGAGAATAAATTTCTGTTTGTTAAAGCCCTCCACTTGTGGTATTTCTGTTACAGCAGCAGTAGATAACTAAGACAATATCTGAATAGCTTTGTTCCTCTCTTCTCCAGGTCTGTATATTTGATTGTCAAGTTATCAAAGAGGCCTTTCTTCCATACTCTTTTTATAATGCCTCCTCCTTCTCCATCACTCTCTTCAGCTTTTTTTTCTTCATAGCACTTATTGCCCGACATTTTTAATTTACTTGTTCATTTTCTTTACCCCATTTGAATTAACTCCATGATGACAAAGATTTCTAGGGGTCATATCTCCAGCTGCTAGACCAGTGGCTGGCACAGAGTAGGACCTCAGTAAGTACAGATTGTTCAGTGAATGAAAGTTAGTGAAATCTCTACATTCTGGAACCTTGTACAATACAGACAGAACAGTGCAGAAGCAAAGACTCATAGTCATAA